GSCATCCACACCAACCCCGGAGGAAGCCATCAATCTTGTACAAGAAACTCAAGCAGTACTTTCTACAGCCAACTTGAGACTACACAAGGTAGTCTCAAACTCAGGTAATGAAAGCATTTCCGGTCACGGACAGGGTCAAGGATCTAAGCGACCTTGATCTTTCCTCAGACGACTTGCCAGMTCAACGTTCTCTAGGGGTATACTGGGACCTAGAGAAYGACACCTTCAMTTTTCGATTGTCGACAGCTGAAAGACCCTTTACACGGAGAGGAGTGCTGTCTACCATTAATTCATTATACGACCCCCTGGGACTCGCAGYACCCGTAATAATAAATGGAAAACGGCTTCTCCAACAGCTGATGATAGAAAAACAAGTGKAGTCTAAGGACAATCAATACGGATGGGACGACCYCTTGCCAGAAAAGCAGACCAGCCAATGGCTACGGTGGAAAGACGACCTATGTGCCCTTGAGGACGTCGCAGTACCAAGATGTTATCGACCCAAGGACTATGGAAGTATTAAGAGAGCAGAGCTACATGTGTTTTCTGATGCGAGTCAAGACGCAATAGCAGCTGCAGTGTATCTCCGAACCTTCAACGTCCAAAACGATGTCTCTGTCGCGCTGGTGTAGACAGGGCGCCATGGAATCCCCGACTTTATTTAATATATATATATGGACTTCGTGATTAGAATTGCTAAGCATGAAGTGGAAAAGGTATGTCCGGGTGCAGGTTTCAAGATCAAATACTGTATCCCCAATGAGGTATCACCAAGGGAACTCCGTGGAAATGCCAGAGCGAGAGGAGAGTCTACAATAACTTCTTTACGCGGATAATCAAGCAATATTTGCAGGATCGATAGAGGAACTGCAAACCATCCTCCAAATCTATGACGAGACTTTTTCTCGTTTCGGTCTGAAGATGTCCTACGCAAAAACAGAGACGATGGCCTTCAATGTCAGCGAAGTAATCATGAACCAAGAAAGCATTGTGAATGTTGGTGGAACAAAGTTAAAGAACGTGAGGAAGTTCCGTTACCTAGGTTATATCATCTCAAACTCAAGTGACAACACGCAGAACCTTGGCTCCAGAATGGGATCTGCGTATGAAAAATGGAATGAACTGAAAGATGTATTAACAGATCATCGTATTCATCTGTCCACTAGGATTAAATTTCTTAATGCCTGCGTGAGATCTAGGCTACTTTACAGCGTCCAGACGTGGGACATGACTGTGAAGGAAATTGCAAAAGTGGAGGTGGTCTGGAACGGGTTCCTTCGAAGGATGGTAAAGGGGGGATTCAAGCGTCGAAAGGATGAGCAACATGACGGTAGTGTGAGCGGTCAGGAGTGGAAGTTTAAATACTCAAATGCAGACCTTCTCCTCATAACCGGGACACAACCCATCAAGACTTTCTGTTTGATTCAGCAGCTGAAATACCTAGCACATATTTGCAGAATGAGCAATACAGACTTACGGAAGCAAGTGCTTTTCGAAGAACGGTCTGGGAAGTGGGTGAAACTTGAGAGGCTGTTGGGCATCGATGCCCAACAACTGAGACGAATGATGATGGACAGAGGGAACTTTACGCGATTCATCGAAGAGATGAYCGCACCCTAAGGAGAAAAGTCTCCAGAGAGGGGAAATAGATGATGATGATGGACAAGCCAAGGTGGCACCTACGCACCCGACGAGCATTCCACGTTTAGAACTATGCGGCGCCGTAATTGGCCATTTCGACGTTGCTTTATGGAATTTCATGCCCAGCATGAAACGCACCCGACGAGCATTC